GTCTTCTCCAAGTAAATGAAATTAAGTGCAAGTCTTGTTGGTCCGTCCGACAATGCTCCATCACACGTTGTAGTAGTAGATAGATAGCTTCCGTGGTCGACCTCTCAAGCATAAAATCAAATTGATTTTCAGTAACTTGAGTCTCTTTTTTTAGTGTCTGTTCAATCACTTTCTATAACGTCATGGTATGAATCATAAGTTTAATCACCCTATAATTTGCACAATTTTGTATATCCCTCTTGTTCTTATAGATTGGAACTAAAGTGTTTTTCTCCATTTATCCGCCATCTGCCTTGACCTCATAATTTAGTTAAAGAGTTTGGTGAGCCACTCAATTCCTCTATCTCCAAGAATTTTTCACACTTTAGTAGGTATGTAGTCTGACCCAACCACTTTATTGTTACTCATCATTTTCAACCTTTTTATTTCTTGTTTTTGAATCTGACGGTAGTAATTAAAGTTTCGATCCTTTTCTCCAATGTTGAGCCTATTAGAGTTTGGTGATATATCTTATCCTTCATTAAATAAATTGTAGAAATACGTCTTCCACCTATCCTTTATATCCTTTTCTTGATCCAAGATTTTGTCTTCTTCATCTTTAACACACTTCACTTGATCCGAATCTCGTCTTTCTTTCTCTTCCTTTTGCAAGGCTATATATAGATTTTTCTACCTCATTGTTTCTTAAAGATTGATATAATCGTCAAAACTGTGGGTTCTTGCTTCATTCTGATACTTTTCCCAAGTTTCAGTATTTTTATACCTAAACCATTCTTTAAAACATTCTTTTTTTTTTACTCTAACTTTAGCTTGAACTCTTCCATTCCACCACCACGATTCTTTATCCCTATGTCCAAAACCTCTTGATTCCCCCAACATCTTTTTAGCTATTTTTCTAATTTTTGGGGTCATCTTGTACCACATATCATTTTCACTTATTTGTGGTTGTTCGAACCTTCCCTCTAAGATCTTGTGTTAGAAACTCCTTTATTTTTCACCCTTCAAATGTCACCACTTGATTTGTGGAACTTCTATGTGACTTCTTCTCTTTGCTCTTCGCTCTCCTCTTGACTCTTTTATATCCATAGACAATACTCTATGTTGGGTAGTCAAACTCTCTCTTCAGTATAACTTTACAATCCAAGCAAATCTTCTTATTTGACTTTCTTAAAAGAAGGAAATCTATCTGAGAACATGTCACCCCTCTCATATATGTAATAAGATGCAAATCTCTTTTTCTAAATCATATATTAGTTATAGTAAGATCAAAACTCTCGACAAAAACTCCAGGATGAATTTACCCTCCCTCTAGATTTACCTCTCCGAGACCATACACGCCCTCAAAACCTCTTGCTACGCTCCTCTATATCCATTTAGATCCCCTACTAGAAAATATTCTCTTTAGGGTATATCTTGAAATAAGACTTTTAAGTCCTTCCAAAATTTTACTTGATGGTGTTCTGCTAACCCAAAGCACTAATAACATTAAAGGCGTCTTGTTCTACTACAAATTTTAGGGCTATGATCCAATCTCTACTCTTTTCACATCCACATTATCCTTCTTCTACTCCTTATCTATAATAATTTCCATCCCATTTTTCGATCTACCTTTGTTGGTATATCAAAGCTTAAAGCCCGAGTTGTCTTACTCTTTCTGATAACTTAATAGGAAAGAGTATGCTAACACAAAAAAACCGAACCAATGTTTAGACAGATTTGACACCTCTAAAGTGAGTGGAGTATAGTTTGTCTGCTATATTACCCACTTTAGTCTTTGGCTTTGACAAAAATGTAACCTTTGTTGGATTGAAAAGGCTGTTTTACTGAATTCTCCAGAATATATGCTAATTGTTTTCGTATTTCTTGTCTTGTTTACAACCATCCAGGGAGGCCAAAGTAAGCCAGGGCAATGTCCTAAGTTATCTGGAGAGGAAAATGGATTGAATTCTACAAGATAACAATGAACTCATAGTTAAATGCCTTTTATATATCAGCCATATATGATGCCGAAAAAAGAGGCTTGAAGATTATTTAATTTAAGTCATTTGATTGTGTGTAATTTAATACTACTTATCTTTGGAAGTGCTTAAATTTATTTTAGTTTAAGTAGAATTTTTTGAACTGATGCTGCTTCCTGCATCAATATTATGTTCGAACGGTTTTTTTTTATCTGTGCCTAAAGAAAAGTTTTCTACTTCAATTATCAACACTTTTATGCAACACTTTTAAATGGCAAATAAATTACTCTCCAAGTAGGTGTTGGATATAGTCCACAACATTATCATTATTTCAAAATGATTTATAGAAGAAAAATTATATTTGTGGACTCTCGTACATTCCATTTATATTGTACTCAGAAAAGAAATAGGGAATAGTGCAATAGATGTGATATGTTGGTAATGTGATACCTATAAAGAGAGAGAAAATGAAGGGTTAGGGGTATCTAAATATATTTAATATTTAAGAAACTGTAATAGAATACAATCTAATTTATTTAATAATATAAAAATTTAAAGTGTCTTTTATAAAAAGAATTGGAATAAATAGTATTATCTATTTTTTATTTTTATAAAAGACAAGTCACTTTTTAGATTTAATAATTAATATATTTAATTTATTTATAGATTAAATATATTAATTATTTATTTATAGATTAAATAATTAATATATTTAATTTATTTATAGATTAAATATATTAATTATTCAAAACGGAGATATGATTGACTTGTATATTGATTTCATAATGATATTTATAATCTAGACCAATTTCAATAATTCAATAGTGTATCTAGCCAGCAACATGTAAACATTAAAGACTTGCAAATATAGACAAAACTGTCTCTTTTAAGGTTTTCTAACGTGGGTACAGCAAACGATTTAAAATTTGTCACATGATTAAATAAAATTTCATAATAAATTTATCACTGAAATAGTAATTAAATATGATTCCGTAATTGATTTTTTATTGTTGGGAGTGATTAAATTACGCAGAAACATATTAACACAATAAATCTTGATTCTAAATTATTAGATTAGCGGATAGAAAATCTAGTCTTAATTTTTCCTGAAGTATTTTGTCCTTTTAAAATATAATTGATTTTTCTTTAAAAATCATTATTTTTTTTTACGAATAAACCAATTTTACTTGAACCTGTTGGAAATCTTGGAATGATGATAACTTGGATTGGGAATTGGAATGATTCATTGACATTAAATGGGCAATAAATGAGCACATGAATGAACTAGTTTGTGAGTGAATTTGAAAGGATTCATTTAAGTCTCACATTGGAGGGAACACAACTTCTAGTAGTGCATAAATACTCCAACTTGGACACTTGGGTTGGGCCCCAAGGGGCACCCCAATTTTGTTAAGGAGTGAGGACACACCACTAAGTCATCTAGACACACGCGCGCGCGCCGCCGTCCGTCCGACCGGCCGGCTCAGTTCGGTTTGGTTCGGTCTAGATGAATTAATTAGCATTAATTAATTAAAAATAGTGGAAATTAATTAATATTTAATATTAATTAATTACGGAATTAGTGACGTGTCAATTACTTGCCTTCCAAGAGTCAAAACGCATGACTGTTTGACCAAGCAATAACAGTTACTTTTGACTGGGCCAATTCCACGTTCTTCCTACTTTTTCGAACCGTTTTGTTGAATTAGTGCTTATTTCATTTGCAAATAACTCCAGAATTCACAATCTCGATCTCACTCTTCTCTCTCTCTATTCTGCTTCATCTCAATTTTTTTTTCTACTCTGTTTTTTCGACTGCTTCTTTGCAGATACTACGAGTGGTTTCTACACCATCAGAAGGTGTTATTCATCGAACGATTTATCACAGTGCAAGTGATAATCGTATTTTATTCGAACGGGCTGTTTTATCCTGGAGACGTCGTCCATTATCGACTGCCTTGCACTTTGTTGGCATCCGGCGAAACGTCTTAAAGAAAGCGTACTGAACCGCGACTCGACCCGATAAATTTCTCAGTGGCTATTCTTCTTTTCAGTAATCCGTGGACAACATTGAACCTAATACTTGTACTTTTTTAGCTTACACTTAATTCTACATTAACTTTTACAACTCAATTCGATTTCTCATTAAATCATTTAAACATAAATCAATAAGATCCCTATTTGTTTCTGCTTTTAAAAAAATAATTTTTTTTTGTATTTTTATAAGTAGGTTTTAACAAACAGTTTTTTAAAATATAAAAAAGTTTATATTTATTTTTTTAAATTAAAATACTAATTTTGACATTTTATAATATAAATATGTATTATTAAAGATTAAAATATAGTCAAATCATAAATTTAAAAATAATTATATTTTAAAAATAATTTTTATTTAAATCTATTTGAAATAATTTCAAAATTAAATAATTTTTAAAAATTTTGATATCTAAAAAAAATTAAATAAAAAATAAAATTTCTAAATTAAGATTTTAAAAATAATTATTCAAATTAAATATTTATTTGAAACTTTTATAAAAAATTTATTTATAATTTTTTTTACATAAAATTATATAATATTATAAAAATCATTTTTAAAAAAAAAGACAAAACAAACTGGCGATAAATTCAACTCAGAATTAATTTTACAAAATTAATCTATTTAAAATCAGTTTCTTCAATGTAAATTCAAACATAATTGAATGGCTGTGCAGCAGTTTACACCTTGCTTCTGCTTTAGAAGATCTACTGGAAATAACAAAAGAAGATGATTACATGTGATAGCGAAAATAAAAAATATTTAAATTTTGTTACATGTATGTTGACAAGGCTTAAATTATTCTAAAAGAAAAACTCAAATCTAATATCAAAAAGAGTAAAAACTGAAAATATATTTATACGTTGAAGACATATCTTACATTTTTTACACTATGCCTTTACTGAAACATCACTTGCAGCAACTAAATTTGTAACTATACACATAACATGATAGAAAAAACTCAGTAACACTATATTCCCATAACAATAACAAGACGATTATAAACCTTAGTTATCTAGTTTATCATCCCAGCTTAGAAGCAAAATAGTGCACCTCCACATGATATAGAATCTAGTTTTCTGCTCTTTGAACTGCATTGAACACCGTCGCATTAACTGAGGAGCCTTTGGAATTCTCATTGATATCGATTCTCTTGCCATATTTACTAATACTAGTAGTATATACAAAATTGAAATCTTTATGATGTTGCAGCCATAGCTCTTATAGAACTTACGATGATGATGATGATGATGGTAGAAGGCATTTATATATAGATGGTGGTTATGATTGGTGAAGAATGTGTTAGGAACCGACAAGGAGAGTGGTCCCTTATTTTGATTATAAGACAAAGCAGTCTTCGTCAGATTGTCTCTCTTCAACAGCTCATTCTTGTAGGACTGCCCAACCCTTTTCTACTCTTCACTCAATATCAATATCAATATCATGTACTAAAATATTCATAAAGTACGAGAATTTCTGCCTCATTTTCAGCCTTCATTTGTTTTTTCTATTGATTCTATTAGATTATTTTAATATTCATAAAGTATTACATTTTTGTTTAATTTTAAATTTTACAATCACATGTGTATTTCAGCTAGGATTTTTTTTCTTGACAATATGATAAAGAATCAATGTTAGGTTTTTTTAAGTTACCGAACCCTTTATATCTTTCCTTAACCTGCTCATCTCGTGTTTGAAGACACTGACTATTATATTTTTTTTAACCTTTGTCCTTATAGCAAGACATGACAACGAAACAGATTGAAGATGTTTTTACCTCCTCTAAATTTAAATTTTAAATTTTAAATAATTTATATCCTCCAACCTAAACTCGAATGGAAATGGAGATTTAAAATTCAAATTCAAATCCGTTATACCACCATTTATCAATGAAATCAATTTTTTAAATAATTTTATTTATTTATTTCAAAATCGAATTACATTATAAATAATAAAACAACACAATCTCAAAAAATTCTATATATACATTCTAAATATTTTAAGTTATAAATACAAATCAAAATATCAAACATTAGCTACATATTTAATATTTTAAATTATCAAAATTAAATAAACGGGATGGTTTCGGGATAGGTACTAGTGTCCTCATTACTCAACTCATTCTCATATATTGTAATCAGAAAAAATCTAAATTCGAACCCAAATTCAGTCAAAACAGATTTTCTCCGTCAACTTCAGGACATGTTCAGATGAATATCCACAAATACGGATTATGTTGTCATGTCTACTTACATATCTCATACTCGAAAGGCTGTAGACCGTTATATTATAATCCAAAGCCATTAGACATAATATGTTACAACCTAACAATTACACTGTAAATAGGACAAATAGATCAAAAAAGATAACAAGCAAGGTCAAACATGCGCAAGATATGGGAGCTGTTGAAATATTAGATTAGATTTGATTAAATTTAATATTTAAATATAATCTAAGTTGTGTTAGTCCAAGCCAAATTATGATTGTATATAAATAGTCATAGTCCGTATCCTTATTTATGACAAGTGAATATTATAATTCTTATTTCCTTTATTATTCTCTCTTTCTCTCCTCACTAAAAGTACATTACGCACTAAATTGGTATCAGAGCAAGGTTATTGTTTTTGATAGAGTTTTCAAGAAATTCACGTCAGAGATTGTGTTTCTAGGGCAAGTGAATCAACTGTTGTAAAGATGGCTAGTGATAAGAGCATTCTGAATTCTCTTCCAATGCTTGACGATAAAAATTGAATCTGATGGAAAAAACAAATGCAACCATTGTTTGGCTTCCATGAAACCCAAGAAGTGGTTATCAACGACGTTCATGCGCTGGCTGCAAATGCAACCGAAGAACAGAAAAAAAATCCACAACAAAGTCAAGAAGAAAGATTACAATGCTGCTTATTACATTCAGACGGCGACTGATGCTGCTAACTTTGATAAAATCTCTCATGCTGAAACGATGAATGAGGCATGGGATATTCTGGTGAAGTATTATGAAGGAGGTAAGAAAGTCAAGGTTGTCAAGTTACAAACCTTGCATCGACAATATGAGTTATTATCGATGGGAGAAGACGGAAAAATTGCAGAATATGTGTTGAAGGTTCAGAAACTCGTCCATCTCATGAAGGGTTGTGGTGAAACCTTAACTGATAAGATGATAGTTGAAAAGATAATGAAAATATTGACCTCTCACTTTGATCACGTTATCGTAGCTATTCAAGAATCCAACAATCTTGAAACCCTAAAAGTGGAAGATTTGGTTGGTTCGTTGGAGGCGCATGAGATGAGGATTGTCGAAAGGAAAGGAGTTCAGGACTCGATACATGATCTACAAGCTCAGTTATGGAAAAGGAATGGTGGTTCCAACAAGTTTAAAGGCAATGTCGACAAGACTCAGGGAAAAAAGTCTTGGTAGAAAACTCACAAGCATCAGGTCAAAGATAGAGCTTCTGAATCCTCGAAAGGAGGAGGAGGATGAAACTATCAAAAGGGAAAAGAAGATAAAAAAGGTGTGCAATGCTATAACTGTGAAAAGTGGGGTCACATAGCCAATAATTATTGATACAGAAAAGACAAGAGATCAACAGGAAAGGACAAAAGAGCAAACCTTGCACGCCAAGATTCAGATGATTCTGAAGGTGGTATGGTGGTTATGGTTGTAGTTGCAGATAACCATGTTGAATCTAAGATCTGGTTCTTCGACCCAGGCTGCTCGAATCACATGACTGGTCGAAAGGAGTGGTTGGCAGTTTTCGATGAGTCAAAGAAGAGCAAGGTAAAACTTGTTGATAATAGTTCGTTACAAGCAGAAGGTACTAGCAACATAGTTTTTCAAATGAGTAATAGAGGGAAAGCTATGATCAAAGATGTGTTCTATGTACCTGGAATAAAGTGCAACTTGCTAAGTGTTGGAAAACTATTCGAAAAAGGTTTCTCAGCTGTCCTAAAAGATGGAGTTTTAAAACTGTTCGACACCAAGAACAATTTGGTCTTAAAATCTACTCTGTCGAAGAACAAGACATTTAAGACTGTGATCAGTTCGTCTGAAGTACAATGTCTAAAAATTGTTGTCAACCACAAGGATAGTTGGTTGTGGCATTTGAGGTTTAGACATTTGAACTTTTGATCACTCAATCCGCTGATTACTCAATATATGGTATATGGTATCCCAAGTCTTGAGATGGCTGACAAACTTTGTGAAGGTTGTTTAATCGGAAAGTAATCTAGAAAATATTTTGTTTCGACTATGCCAATGTGATCATCATGCATACTCGAAGTGGTACATTTGGATGTATGTGGTTCATTTGAAGAACATACCATTGGTGGAAACATATATTTTGTTTCATTTGTCGATGATTTTAGTCGAAAGCTGTGGATCTATATGATCAAGAGAAAGGAAAAAGTATTTGAAATCTTTAAGAGATTCAAGATGCTTGTCGAAAACCAGAGTGAGAAGAGGATCAAAGTTCTGTGAACAGATGGAGGTGGCGAATACACTTCAAAGATGTTTGAAAAATTCTATGCAGAACATGGTGTTGATCATGAGGTAATTCTCCTTATATGCCTCAACATAATGGAATTACTGAAATAAGAAACAAAACCATATTGGATATGGCGAGATGCATGCTAAAGCAGAAGAATTTGCCAAAATCTTTATGGAGTGAAGCTGTTTCGACTGCAGTTTATATTTGAGCAGGTTCTTCCCAGTCAGAGCTTTTCCACAAGTGGGCTCCAATTCTCAAAGCAAATTAGCGTCTTCTAGATGATCTATCAGACCATTCTCTGTCAGAATATCTGAGATTAATCTTCCCAGAGGGATCCAATTTCTTTTTGACTTAGGGTTTTTGACCCTTTTAGATTCCCTGGTTTCCTTCACATACGTCCAGAGATGGTTGAACAGAAGATAGGTCAGATCAATCTTCACATTTGTGCCAAGACAGAACAAAAGATATTGTTGGTCAGCATTGATGTAGTCAGGAGAACTGGTTTCCTTCCTATGATGAATGCAACCATGAATAATTCTTGCCCAAATTTTATATTTGTTCTTCAAATCTCTGACCTTGTTGGATGCTTGCCCAGTAGTGAAAATCTCAGCATAAACTTTGGACATATCATTCTTCCACTTGAGATTCCAGTAACACCATTACCTTCAAAACCTAGAAGCCTCCTTATGAGATTCTCAGTGATGGAAATCTCTTTTCCCATTACAAATGATAGAATGACCTTTGGTGAAGCAATGGCATGAATCCAGAATTCCTTGACAAGATGAGGGAACACTGGTCCAACGGAAACAAATCAAACCCATTTGCTTTCAGATTTTCAAAATCAACCATTAGTTCACTAACCACTTCCAAGCTATCAACAAGGATGAGTGTTGTTCTCTCAGGAGTGACATATCTTTCTGTATGTTGAGAGCTGCTTGAAGAAACATGAATGCTTTCGGAAGGAGATGAAGATGAAGCCATTTGGAACGCTTAGGTTTAGGATTTTGAAAGAAAAGAGAGAGAGAGTTTGCACAAAACACAAAAGCGATTGAAATTTGAGAGAGAGAGTAAAAAGTAAAAAAGGAATTTTGTGAAGTATTTATAGCATAAAATTTTTTTTGGAGTAATAAAACCAGTAAAGAATTTAGAACGATTGAATTAAAAAAAATAGTTACTAGCAATTAATGAAATTTGACATTGAGGGGAAGCGTGAGATTTGATCAAATCTGAACAGTTACCTAGGAACGGCGTCTCAATAGCAGTGCACGCATGCGTGACCTTTCAGAGTTGAAACACGCGTTCAACTTCTGAGGATAACGCGTGACAGCTGTTTTAATGTAATGAACTTCTGAATCATTCTTGTAATGAAACGTTAGACACATTTCAGAACATTATGGATGGTTTCTGATGTAAATCCTCTTTTCACTTCTGAAGAGTAGTTAATCAGAACATTCATTTCAGAACATTCTGAAAACACATATAGAAAACAAATTTCATTTAGGACAAAATTCCATACTGATGTTTTTCAGAATGAATTTAAATTTATCTTCAGAAAGGGGTTTAGTAAAAATATCAGCTCATTGATGGTCCGTGTCTATGAAGTTTAAACTTAGGATTCCTTTCTGAATGTAGTCCCTTATGAAATGATGTTTAATTTCTATATGTTTTGCCTTAGAATGTAAGATATGATTTTTTGACAGACAAATAGCAGAGGTATTATCACAAAAGATAGGAATCTTACTTTCATAGAGATGATAATCTTCCAGCTGGCTCTTAACCCAGATCATCTGAGTGCTACATCCAGCAATAGATATATATTCTGCTTCAGTTGTTGATAGTGCAATAGT